GTCTCCATTGGAGATGCCCTAAGAAACCCAAACGTCAATATCCACAAAAATAAAAACTATAGAGATTATTACTTTAGTTATATCATAGTATCATTTGGATGGATAATAAGCAATAGCATGTGCTTTTATGCAAATGAATGAGTTTATCTTCCCGCCATGCTACTTGTATAAGATTTTTTTTACGATTTTGATTGGCAATTATAGTTGTCAATATTACATTCACTCATTTTAAAAACTGTTTTTAAAATTAATGGTCCAAATTTTGACAGCATCAATGTTGTCATCCATCATTGTCAACCACAATTGTACAAATATATTAATTCTTAATCTTAATCTATCTCTATCTCTTTCTTCGATACTCGACTTTTAAATTTTAAATTTATAGCGTTCAATATGTATTAACATCAAATCCTAGAATTATGCTATTAATCTTAATTCCCACCCAAATTTTCAAGTCAAATCAAATGGAACTATTTCTTCTATATATTCTTTATATCAACCATTTTTACATTTTTTTTTTTTTGGCGATTACCATTATGACTATCACCCCTTCAACAAAGAAAGTTTCCTTTTTCCTCTAAAGCTTCTCAATCCACAACCTATAGGCCTTTAGGTGAGAAGAACAGTTTGAAAAGGCAAGAAGTCGACACAATCTAACAATTATCCATCGAAAAAGTAATCGAGAGAACATCCTTGGAGGTCGACGAACCAACAATTCAAGCCATAACTAAGAGTATGTTTGGGAATGGGGTTTATATTATAAAATGACAATAAAATGGTGGATAAGTGAATATGACTTGTGAATCCTTCAAACTGTATTGATAAAAAGTGATTTAAGTGTTTATAACCATGTGTCAAACATAGGCTAAATCTTCAGTTTTGAAATTTCAATATGTGAATAAGTTAGTGTGTGTAATATCATGAACATGACATCAATGTAGTTGATCTTAAATTATGTAGTGTTGTCGCGTAGTGCGTGATGGCTCTTTGATGAAATTAACCGTATTTGAGATTTGTGTTGGTGGCAATGGAGAATTGGTGGTGTTGATCTCAATAGTGATGCAGCTTCGATGTTTGTGATGGTGAAGGTGGTGCTGCAGATATGGTGATAGAAGTTGGTTTTTGATAGTGATGGCCGTGACAAATGCT